TTTATTCAGATACCTTCCAAATTTCATTACAGTATAAAGTTTAAGAACAGAATGAATATCGGAAGCATACATAAAGAAGTTGTAGGGAGATTTAGCGTGATAAACTCTGACAGCGATCTACTGAATTGATCGGCTGATCATCTGCCTATTGATGGCACTGATAAACCATCCGTCTGATGACTATCGATCAACTGAGTCGCCTTGTAGTCACGTACGTTAACAGGATGACACCGCAGGTTTCACTTTCCCAATCCGCCCCACTATGCATGATGGAGACAAAAGCTCTGTTTAAAACCAGCCTTACGCCGGGAAGAAGGTTTGAAGACAACGAAACTTCTACAACCTGCCTACCGAGAAACTGAAGAGTTGTATAAAAAATTTTTATTTCGACGCTAAGCTCTATTGTTAGTATTATTACTATAAATATCCTTATTCTACTTTCGCAACTTGATTAAGTTGACATCCTAGACATCCTTCTGTCTCAAAGACCTCAAACGTTGCCTTTCGAAAAAGCTTAACGGACGATCTAGAAAAGCTGACTGGAAAAGCTGACTGAAAAAGCTCTAAGGAATGCAATCCGTCGTGAGACCAGATATTGCAAATAGCATTGCAGAAAAGAACTCGTTGTACAACAGTAGACTTCAAAGGAACGCGAAATCAATTTACAACTCATTAGTTTATTGCCCATCGTCCTCCACTTATGCGGTTTTCGAATACAATCTTATGAAAACTTACATCTTAACCTCACTCGAATATTTTTATTGCCTTATTTTATAAGACACTTAGGAAAATATTTTATGTTATTGTTTCTGGAATAAAATTAGAACTCGTAATTTGAAGACTTTTTGAATCTTGATTAGGAAAACTTCTTTTTATAATCCAATTTGGTATATCTACCTTGTTGTTTTACTTGTAATCCTATCTACGACAAATTGTCGGTCAAACTGACGCTCTCTTTCTCTATTTTATCTCACCGATCTTTACAGGAGGTCAATGGTTTCTTCAATGCCTCCCTTTGTTTAAGGGACTTAATGTTTTTGACACTCTCAACACGATGTTGATAAAGTGAATGATTACTTCGATCTTCACTCGTGTCATAAATTAAAGAGCATATTTGTCTGTCAATACCTTTAATTTCTCTCCATCATATAAAAACGAACAGTTTTTGTTGTCGAAATATAAGAAGCTCTTAACGATGTTGGTTAAGCCACAGGTGAAGATAAAATCCTTCCTTAATCAAAACTGTCTGTATGTAGAAAGATAAAGTCACGCGATAACTCGTGAAACATCCATTATTATACCTTTTGGGTTGGCAAGTGGTATCTGAGAGAGGCTCAAATCTCCAAAAACATAGCTAGTTTTTAATAGGGTATCATGTTAATAAATTTAACTTTCGGTTTGTTTTCTTTTCTTTTTGAAAATAAACTGTCTATATCTCGATGCTATTGTTGAATGTTACTCGTTCTGTGACTGGTTGTTGCCTATGTCAAGCATTTTAATGTTCCACATAACTCTCATTCTAAAACTTTTGCAATTTCTATTTTGGGAGGGAGGTGTACTTCACGAGGAAATGAAAGTGATAACAGAGCCTTACTTAAAAGGAGAAAAAGCTCCGCTGAATCAAGGTCCTCTATGCCCCGTGAACCGCGGAGTATCTCTGCCTGATCACGTTTAGTCAACAGAGACCACCCACGAAGGTGAGCTAGATGCACGTTGCGTGATTTCACCCACCAGCAGTGATTGATTGAAATGTAAGGAATTAGTGATCATGCGATTGTCGCAAGGTACTAGAGGTATATCAGGGCTCTAGCTCTGAGCTGACACGACCACTGTGTACTGCAGGCTGGTAATAATCAAGAATCTATGGTTATGAGAATATCTTTGAATTGCAATTCCAATGTTGGTGTTCAATCTTGTTGTTTATACCACTTTTGACTCTATTTACGATTTGAGTTGTTGATTACGTAACAGTTCATCACCATGGTGATGACAACGACGTGGAGGAATCCCCCAAACAAAGAGTGCTTTAACAGTTTAAAACTACTTAGAGCTGAAGTTACTTAAAAAAATAATCGTTTATGACGCTGGCAAAAATAACAGTGGGCATTGAAACTTGAGTTTCAGCCCGCTTTCATTCACAACACCGTCTGTTTCTTTGTACACAATTTCAAAACTTTGATATAAGACTCAAACTTTTTCAAAACGGTCATAACGTCGAACTTTCAAAGTTAATATCGACCATCAGTTATACACTAACAGTTCGGTGTCACATAGTTGAGAATATCTTTATTGAATGGATCTTTCTCATTTTAGTAAGACAAGCTCCCTATTCTTAACTGATGAGAGCCGAGTAGGGAACTTTACACCGAACGTAGCTCCAGCGAAGCTTCAGCCTTCAGCGGCATGGAGTGATTTGCGCACGAGACTGGCGGTGCCTTTTGTCTTGAATATTATCTCATCGGGATAAAATTTCACGTTTTTTTTTTATATTTTTTAAAATTGTTTTTTTAATGTTCAGAGTATATATTTCATCGAAAAAAACACACCAAGGAAGCTATTGTAACACGAACAGCCACGATCACGAAATACTAAATGAACCTTTGTTGCTGTGAGTGAGTTTCACCATTCGTGCTCGCTGTGGGAATAACTCATTTTCCCATCAAATCATAAAAGAAGACGTGACCTGTTTCAGCTGACTGAGACCGCTAAATAAACAAGTGAAACTCCCTCTTTTACTAATTCCTCTGCATCATAATCCAGTGGCTCTTGTTGACTAGTTACCTATTGGTAATCATAAATTTTCAATGATTACCTCAGTAAAAGTTGACAAAGCTGCTAATTTTGGAAAAACCAATTACAGCTTAGCGCCTCTCTGTCTTAGAGAGAAGATTTTACCGTTAGTGCTAATTTACAACAAGCAGAATTAAAGAGCCTTACAGTGCTAAAAAAAATCAGGGTTGTGGTTTGGTTTTTTAATTTTCGTTACTGTGTTACTCAATTGAAATTCTGGTGGGAGTTTCAAAGTGTCAAGATTTCAGTATCAAGAATTTTTTAGTAAGAGTAATAAAGATTAACTGCTTTTATCTGACAGGTAAATGAATATTATTGTCTGTTATCACTTTCAGCATATTGAATTTTTTATCTGCCTTGCGATAAGCTGAATCTAGCGAATTAGAAAAAAAGTGAGACGACTAAGAAATCGGAAATGAAATGACTTTTTCATGCTTCTAGGAAATCGCCTCTCGAATGTTCTAATCGCATTCCCACGACAATGACGTAAATGATACAGGCGACGGCAACATAACTTTTGACCTCTGAGAATTGGATTCTTGGATGTTGCGTGTTTGTAAGACATTCATTCTTTCATTACGGAGGAGGATGGTCATTATTAAAAAACATGTGATGTAAGGATTGGATCACGCGATATACAGATAACACAAAGGTCGTAACAGCGCGAATTAGGTTATTTTTGAAAGACAACAGACTACTTTTTACTCGATTGAAATGGTTCGTTGTCTAAATTGACAAAATTCCAGAATTCCAGCACATAGAGCCCTAAACTTGAATGGAGTTCTACTGCTGTGTATGTTACGTTTATCACACTGTTAAACGGTGGCCCACAAAACGTGAAGATTTCATTTTTTTTGTTCCTGCTGCAAATTAAAAAATAGTTTGTATCAGACGAATTTTCAAAAGAATATTAATTTTTCTTATCATGAAAAAAGAGAATCTTAAAGTTAAATGAAAAATAAAGTTATTTCATTACAATTTGTTGTAATGCATCGTCTTTCTTTTAAACTATCCGTCTTAAGTTCTTTAAAAAATCAAATTGAAAATAGGACTGAATACTGTAAAAAAAAATAGTTTCGGTAAACAATTCCTAGAGGATTAGGTATCCATTTCTAGAATGCCCCCCGAAAAAAGCCAGTTCTTTGTGTAATGAAGGCATTGTTGTTTAGGTGGTATTTGATAAATATGTTGTTTTCGAAAAGTAAACCTCATGCGATGAAAATATGTGTTGTTTGATCCGATCGGATGCAAATGATGAATTCTCGTATTGTCGTCATTTTAAAACCGCAAAATAATGCATGACATAAGGTAACAAGACTGAAAAACCAACTGCGAAGTACTGCGCTACGGAGGATCAAAGTTCTTTAAAGGCGAGTTCCTTTTTGGTCGGATGCATTGAACAAGTTGGAAATGCTGAAAGCATCACCACCTATTGCTTTTTTGCGAAAGTTGCAGTGCAATAACTGTCCACGAATGACCTAAAAAAGATGCAACTTTATCAGTGCTTCGGATCATCTGGCTACTATGTAGAATTACTCTACAAAGATATGGATGTTGGCGTCTCTATAGCTAGCACTCTTATGACAATTTTCATTTGTACAAGCCTCCGTGAAGGAATTCAATGAGTAACTAATATACAACTCAGTTTATAAATTATTAAATCGGTTTACATTGCGTCAGCCCAAGTAGTCCAGTGAATTAAGCTAATTTACCGAATAAAATGTTAAGTATTATGTAAACAAGGCTTTGCTGAACATTTTGAAATGACATGCAAACTGTGAACAGAGCGTCAGATGAGCCAGAGCGCTAAAGTGCAGGTTGGGGATGAGCGAGCCCTCAGATCATACTTCTAACTCTTCCGTCTGGCTCAAGTTTCTTCTAAGCACAATCATCATGCACGAGATTTTGCAATTTGTTGTCTCAGCACATAGTTCGTGTTTCGTGTTGAGTCGTTTCTTAGTGACAAATTCTTGGGTTTTCACGGTGAAAAAACTTCCGATGCTATTTACCGCTCTGGCGGAAAGATTCAAAAAGCTATTTCCGAATGTGTTTGCGTTAGGATTCCAGCAATACTGATGGTTTTGTTCATCTTCTGACATTGGCACTTGTTACAGAATGTAATTAGAATAATAGAATCAAGACTCCTCAAACCTTTGTTGTTTATGGTTGAGGTTTATTTTCAAAATAAACTGAAGGAAAGTTATGCCTGAGAGCTCAAGATACGGCGAGGTCGATAATAAACAGTTAGGGCAACTCCCCCTCAAAACCCAATCTAGCCGAAGAGAGATTAGTGTTGCATTTAAATTTAATTCATGGAACATGGGAATCACGAAGAGAAAGAACAAATACGACTGTGGCGCAAGGAAATTTCTTCCTAGCAATTTTATCTTAAGAACTGTTATAATTCGGAATTCGTGTCAATGACCAAGTCTTAAGAACTGTTATTATTCGGAATTCGTGTCAAGGACCAAGTGTTCGGCGATCTTCAAAACAACACGTCTCTCCAAGCCTCCAGGGTTTTTTCGCTCTTGGTTCTATCACGCCCTCTTTACTAACTGTCAAAGGCTTAGAGTTAGACAAGATGTTTTCCATCTTTCTCTTGTAGTTGCCAGTTTTCGTGCAAATCCTTCAGCTTTTAGGTAATGCGCAGCTTTTGCTAGCAGTTTTTAGTAACAGAAGTATAAATACGACAAACGTAACGGAACAACAGCTGAGCGGGTGCCAAAGGTTACTGGAGTGATGCTTCAGTTATTGACGCTTTTGCGTTAGTGGGGATTCTCTTACGAGGATGTCTCGGAATTCTACAATTAAGCTTAAACAACTGTGCGACTTACGCAACAAGATTCCCAAACAAGGAAATCATCTCATGTAATTCGCCTCACAGTCAGGGTGTGGTTTTATACAAACGCTCCTTTAGCTTGATTTGACCTAAGGAACTTTGTCAATAGGTCTCCTGTTTGTTGCACAATGCGACGCATAATGCACTTTTGACGATCTCAGGAGGCAAAAGGCAGATTTTGATTGGTTGAAATGCGGCTTAATACCTAACAACGCAGTCTGTGATTGGTTCTTGGCTGAAGGGTGATTAATCGTTCCCACCATTCCATTAGCACAGAGGTCTAGTGACCGCTAAGTTGATTCTAATGACAGGGGTAGTGTTGAAATACTCTTTCAGTGATGCTCACTTACCCATCGCATAAACATTTCAGCTCCTGAGTTGGAGGGCGCAATATTGGGAACACTCATTTGTGCAATGATTCAGAAAGAAAGCGTCATATCATGGTTCAAAAGCCTCGATGGAGATGATCGTATCGACCTCATGTGCAATTTATTAGACTGCTGCCTGCCGTGGGAAATTCGATTTTTAGGCACGTTTATTGAAGCCCAGGTCCAGAGAGATTACCCGGCGTTCCGACAACCCGAGAGTACGGCGAACAATCCGTTTGATCTGAGCTGCCTGACATGTTTATACGATGTTCATGTCCGTCGGAGGTTGTGTGTTTCACTAGCGTTGCTGCATTCAAGCAATCGCCAAGCAGCTTCGGTGCTGTTTGGAATTCTGAATGACTTTCAGCCATCGAGTCTGGGAGAAGAGGAATTCTTCACTGAACTCTCACTATTGATCACCATGTCCGCTCACCACCCAGCGTTCTCATTTCATCAAAAACACACCTTGTCTGCAAAATTAAAACAGCTCAAACAATCGGCAAATCATACATCAGATTTAAGCGAGGTAAAATTAACGTTTAATTCAATCTATTTTTATTACAGAATTTTTAACCGTTTTAAAAATATTTTTTACATTGATATTTGTACACATAAAGGTCACCTTCCATTTGCTACATGTTTTGAAAATATTTAAGATACCTTCCGGCTCCCCAGATAATTAGCATCGGGCCTTAACATTATTTTACAATTTACTCCTGAGGTAATAGGTTGATTTTGATTGTTTCCTAATTTTTTGTCGTTAGACTGTCTCCGAAGCAAGCAGTGGTTCTTCGAATTTTTCGTGTGACCAAGATGCTTCAGCAAAGAAGGATGCTCGAGATGATCTTTTGTTCGAAGAAAAACAAAAGAAAGAATCTGTGGAAGAGAAAGCCACCGTAAATGAAATCCTTAAGGTTGAGAGTGCAAATGTCGGCGATTCTTCCCTGGCTAAGGATAACACTCTTAAAGGTAATTATTTACTTAGCTGAATTGAAGACGATCCGACGTTTACTAAAAATTTACATCCAAGTTAATCCAATTTATTTCGACGTCTTTCTGTTCTAGTTTTTTTTTTGTTGCTAATTTCTGATCATAACGACGTAGTGATCATTTGGTGATTTCTCACGTTGATTTTATTTTCTAATCACGATCGTGGCGAAAGTCAAAACATATGCAAATTAACAGCCGATAATAGTCTTCTTTTTTAAGTTTGACATGTGACACTTTCTTCCTTCCTCTGTCATTTAACCGTGGAACGGTTTTCAGACAAGAATCGGTTTATTTCAGCTGGTCGGCTCCAGGGGTCGTTCGAGATGTTTCCATTAACTGCCGAAGCTTATTTTTCAGCAAAAAGGTACACAAAGATGCTTTGATAAGCTATATAATTCGATACGTAGAAGCTCGTGTTTTCAAAGAATGGTAAACACGAAGTAAAATTATTCTGTATCCAATAACATTTCAATTCATGAAAGCCGTTTGTTGTCCGTCATTATATTAGCGTTCGGAGGAAGTTGTGTGGAATTCTTCATCCAAAGAACCTTATGAATTCATTGTGAATCATTAAAAAATCTCTCATCTTCCATGACACGTACATTTTTTTGTTTTGGTGCTCTATGTGTCATCTAAATTTTTCCCAACTCTTGCATTAATGTTGAAAGAGCTTTTTAGTTTGAGTAAAATCAATCTTTGGTTTCTTACCAATAGAGCACAGCTCATCCCACTGTGTTTTACCATTGATTATCACTACTTTTAATCATAAAGGAATGTCATGACTTTCATTACTACATAATTTTTTACTCTCACTTAACCAAAAGTAACGTATCTTTCGCCACTAAGCTGAAGTTAATGATGCCCTTGTTCAAGGATTCAAACAGCAGGAAGTCTGTAGGGAAGTCTATTTTGTAACACATGTTAGTCAGCTTTCTACTGAGTGAGTACGCTACAGATTATTTTTAACTGAAATTGACACTAACCGTATGATGTCATGATGTTTCCGTCACGGACTCTCATATGGTTTCAAACATTCCCTGCACAACCTTTTGGTGACATAAAATCACATGGTATTACTGGGTTGGATATAGAGAACTTTGTGAATGGATGTTGCAAAGGAAAGATGGATCAGTATAGTTTTTTGGTGAAGCAGAAATCTGCAATGATATTTAGTACAGAAGTCTTTTCTGGGATATGATCAAGGTATGACGATTGCCATACGACAACTGCCGTTGTTTTCATTAACAACATGTCACCTTTGATTTCATTTTGTTGAAAATAATCAGACTTATCTGGATGTCCCAGAGCCAGAGATTAACCAGTGTAGTTATAAAGTTCTTAAAAATATTTCTTAACTTATCCATTGAATCATACAGGACTGTTGTCAAGCTTCTATAGAAAGTTGTCATCAAACAGTGGATTTCATAATTGGTACACTGTTGGTACAGAACTTGAAATTAGGAAATTCATGATGGATAGTTTCTGTCAAAGCTATTATTATTGTCATTTGATGAGCCCCATTTTTTTTTTTTTCACAGTCATATTAGTGTGATGAATGTAAATATAATTTTCATGTTATTATATTCTTAACAATGTTTGATCAGAGGTTGCAGTGTCCTAGCGTATATTGTGAAAACATTTTTGTATGAGAGATTTTCTTAAGATGTTAAAAAGAAAGGCAGTGTGTGTGGTCTACGTTATCTAACACCTGTCTTTCAGTAATAACTTACTTGATCTTAAGTTTGATAGCAATGGAGTGCTTGGAAGAAAAACAAAGAACTTAATAACAAGTAGATAAATAGCTAATGAAATACGAAGCCAATTTATTTGAAATGTCTTGATGTTGACAGATGGAATTCCTACTGGGAGAGAATAACAATTGTCTAGTCAAAAATCAACAGTTCATTTAAAAATTATCATTTTGAATTAGTTACTTGTTTCCACTATTTTCCTGTGAAGGGAAAAATTCTTTTGAATATTATTCAAAATACAATAATTCCATCACTTTTGCAAACTCTTTGTATTTGAAACAGTTGTCCATCCAAAATAAAGAAAGAATGCATGGGAACCATCTTAGTGGAACACAAGGAACCATTCTGACAAAAATTATACTTAGGCAGTCCAATTTTATGCAGGATTTTCCTTTATTACAAAATATTTCTTGTTGTTATCATCAACACAATTTGTTTAGGTACTTGTTGAATTACTGTCGAGGCTTTATTTCAGAAAATATTTCCTTCTAATGAATTGATTCCCTTAGCAAACATGATTTCAGTGTTGTTGTTTTCTTTCTCAGAACTTCCAGTCTTTGTGAAAGAGATTAAAGTGCAAGGTGTGCAAGCTGTGGAGAAAAAGAGGGAAAAAAGATCAAAACATGATCCAAGAAAGCGTGACGATCATTGTTATGTCTTACAGGTAATTAATGACAAAAGTTGTAGATATAGGGTTTTGTTAAAAAAGAAGGTTCAACAATCAATAATTACTTAGACACTAGTAGTGTAAAGATTTCAGCTGAGATGTGAAGCTGTGTAACTTCTTATAAGAAAAATTATAGAAGAACTTATTTAAGTAATCATTGGATTATACGTTAGAAACCTCTTTTGATGTGTTGTTGATTAATATTCTACTTTAATTGTGCAATAAAGATGTCATTGAATTGAAAGAAATCTATAAATGTAATCATAGGAAGATGGAAAAATACTAAAGGGGACTAAGTATAAATGGGTTGAGAAGATTAACCTCTTCATGACAGAGACACTTAACCCTTTACATCCTAAAATCAATATACATATTCTCCATACTGCTCTTTATACATATCCTAAGGTGCTGACAAGGAGAATTTGTTTACCAATCAAAAGCTTCTTTTGTTGGTGATCATTTCCTTTATTCTCATAACCTTAACATGTGATTCAGGGGTGATATTGTAGGGAGAAATTTGATACTAGTCACTCTTGGGGTCACTCTTTTATTCTCATAACCTTAACATGTGATTCAGGGGTGATACTGTAGGGAGAAATTTGATACTAGTCACTCTTGGGGTTTAAAAGGTTCTAAGAGAGGATTTAAGGTCTACTTGTTTTCAAGATGAACTAACTGTGAAGACCATTGAAACTAATATTTATTGACTTCTATTAACACTGAAAGTAATTGCATGACATTGCCCAAACATATTTAAAAGGTAATAGGTGACAACTTGATGCAGAGTCAATCCATTTAAAATGTACAATTTTTAAAAATGGTATTAGAGTTGAAAATGGCATGACAAAAACCAATTAGCTTTTGAAAAGTTTTATTTCTTAATCATATTGGCTGATATTTTTTTGTAAATATTTGTTCAATGATATACTGTAGTTAGTACCAGGGCAGTCTCAGCATACAAAGGGTCTTCTAATAACTTTGTCCTTCGTAGGTTTCTTGGTCAGACAATACAACAGAAACTATACACAGGACATATGAGGAGATGTTTGACTTCCAGTGCAAGGTACAGATATATGATGAAATCCCTTACAGACACATGACATAGAGCCAGGACAATTGCACTTGTTGAGCTAAAATCTTCCATGCCAAGGGTCTCTTCATTTAGGCTTGACAACCCAATTGACTTGGAAATTTTTATAAGCTTATTTTACCGCTATGAATCTTGGGAATTCCATGTCGATTGTGGTGGGATCTCCAATCTCAGAATTTATATAGGGAAAAAGTAGAGCTAAGGCAGCATTAGTAATCTCAGTTACAAAAACGTGGGTTTTGTTTACTGAGGCAGCCCTTTGTGAGAGGGGGAATAGTTTTTAGTCAACTTCCACATTTATCTTGTGGTCTAAATTTTTTTCACGGTGTGAAATTTTTTGAAAGCTGTCATTGTTTCCTAATTGTCATAGTGCAAAAAAGTAATTTTAGAAAATTTATGTTCAATTGATTTTTAAAATATTTAAACCAAGAGAGAAAGCAAGTCACACATATTTACAGCAGATTAATTTCAGACTAACATTACATTGTGGTCCAGATTGTTGAAATATTTTCCCCTTTGCCCACTCAAAGTTGGTATTAGGAAAATTGGACCACTTGAAAGAATTATTCAAACCTTGAGAGGGTGCAATTTGTTTAAGAAACTTTGTCCAGGGTTGTCATCAGAGTGAAGTGGTGTTACTTTTGGCTGTCAACAACAGGGCATTTTAGGTCACATTTTGAAGATAAACATGAACACATGCCCTCAAGGCTCACGAAACTACTGGTCACCGTTACTTTTATACCATATTTTATAATTCTCTAGTAAATTGTTGTCATGTGAAGAAAAATTGACATTTTACATAATGCTGATCAAGTTTTCCCTGGGAACCCGAAAAATGAATAATTCTCTGACAGAATGTGACAACCTTTAGAAGAAAAATGTTTAGAGGAATGTGTGTCTGCACTCTGTCATCTTTGCTTGAAATTTGAGATCATTTTACTGTTGCTAAAACATGCAATATAATAAAACAGACATGTTACTTTCTTCACATGATTACTTTCCTTGTCAGTGGTAAACCATTTGTGAATTTCAGGTTTGAAAAAGAAACTTTGAACATATGAACAATTCTGCACCACTATTATTATGACATGTAGCCTTTGTACTTCCTCTTCATCTTATGTTAGTATCACTGCCCAGGAGATTTCACACATTTTATACCTTAACCCTTTCACTTCCAAGATCTAATTTAGTAATTCTCCTTACTATCTGCCATACAATTCTTATGATGTTAGTTCAGAGAATTTGGTATTGGATCAACTAATAATCCCTTGGTTGACATTCTTCTCTATTCTCATCACCTGCCTGCTTGATATTGTATTGATATTGTAAGGAGAAATTCTGTCTTGGTCACTTGTGGGAGTGAAAGGGTTAAAGAAGTTCCTTGCAGAATTTCGTACCTTTTTAAAATATGGTGCCAGGGTAGTGAACAAAAAACAATTGGAGTACAAAGTCTATTACTCAAAGAACCACGTAGAAACCTAATTTTAGGGATATTGGCATTAACAAGCAGACACTTTTTCATTAACCCTTTAACTCCTAAGATCTCATTAATAATTCTCCTGACTGTCTGCTATACAGTTCTTGTGATGTTAGTTTGGAGAAATTGGTATTGGATCAACTTATAATCCCCCAATTGATATTTTTCTCTATCTCTTGTCACTTTTCTGCTTGATATTGTATTGATATTGTAAGGAGAAATTCTGTTTTGGTCACTCATGGGAGTTAAAGGGTTAATATGTTTTGATAGGCTCATCTTGGTTTGACATATTAAAAAAATCCCCATATTTGATTGTGTATTTCTGTTTTGAAATCCCAAGCTGCGCAAAATGTATCCAAATAAAGTTGATGCAAGTGGCAATCCTTGGAAGCTCCCTTTTTTACCTGGTGAGAGTTTTTTTATTAAGTTATTAAATTTTCAAAAGAGTATGAGAGTGTAATTGATAAGTGTTATTTCATTACTTTAAATATGCATGAATATATAGCAGATGTTTGATGTTTGGAAACAATCATTGTTGCAATTCTGCCAACATGCTGGGCACAAAAATGCAAGTAGTACATGTGTTGATGTGTTCATTAAGTTTTTATGAGATGAACAGGAATCATGCAGTGACCAGAGCATTTACCTACAACTGCTGTGGTCTTGTCAGTTCAGTTCTCAAACATGGCATCACATCATGATACTCATCATCCTCACTTTCTTGCTCCTTTTACTTTATCATTGATTGAAATTTTTTTGTAGGAAGAATCAGAATGTTTAACAAGCCAGAACCTAAAGGAGAAAAACTGCCCATCCCTGATATTTCAGAATATACCAGGTTTGGTCTAGTTTTTTATCTTTAGTAATATATTTATAACCACTAATATTCTGAGTTATCAACTGAGACAGAAAAAGCCTGATTCACCCATTAAAATCACACACAAAAAATTTTCAGAACAAAAAGAAATTAAGCAAAAAAAAAGAAACAGAATTTTGATGAAAGTGTTGCACAAGAAAAATAAAAAAAGAACTTGATGAAAAACGATTGGAAAGAAGAAATACGAATTTATAATGAATGATGTCAATATGATTTTTGGCAGCAACAATAGTTATTCTCAACTTATAGAGAACATCAATTCTTTTCATCCTTTAGGTTGTTTAGCAGTCTTCCTGAGTTTGTTCGAGGTTGTGATCATGTAGTAAAATTTTTCCAAAGTGAAAAAAGAATCAGGAGAAAATCAGACAACAAAAAGAACAAGAGTGTGACAAAAACAGAAGAACAATCCAACTGTAAAAACAAGCAAAATGAGTTTGAATCACCTCATAAAATAGCTGAAGCTGTGCGGGAACAGTCACTTGGTAGAAAAGATAAAGTCAAGAGTGCAGATGTCACAAGCACAAAAATAAAGAAAAAAACAAATAGCGAGTCTTCTGCAGAGAATGTTTCCAAGAACAATGATACTTGCATTGTGGGGAGAGAATCACTTGTTGACATTGATGAAAATGGAAATGAGGTTAAATCCATCCTTTGTGGTAAGTTGTGGAGGCCTGATTTTTTAATATGTGACTGTCACAACACTACAACATTATTGGACCAAAGCTCTTTATTAGTTAAACATATACCTCAACTGGTGCTTGTTGTAAGCCTTACTCTTAGTTAAAAAGTTACGTAATCAAAATTCATGTCTGAAAGGACTAATTATCATGAGAGTTTTATTAACTCTTTACACCCTTACATCAGTATTCATATTCTCCATACTGATATCTGTACATTTACTAAGGTGCTGACAAGGAGAATTTGTCTAACAATCAAGAGTTTCTTTAGTTGTGATCATTTCCTTTATTCTCATGACATTAATGTGTGATTCAGGAGTGATATTGTAAGGAGAAATCAGATGCTAATCACTCTCAGGGGTTATGAGGGGTTAAGATAAAATAATGCATTGTCATGCGTTTAACTTTGATTGGTGATGCAGTGGTGAACAATTTCAGAAACCTCAAAGGAAAAGGAGGAAAGTGAAAAATCTGTTTCCAGTGACCAACATCACAAAAATGGAATTATTAAGATGGCGCCAATACAAACATTGTTGCCTTCGTCATCATCCTTGTCAACATCAGGTAACAATTTTAATTTTCCTCTCTCTGTTTCAAAGGTAAATAACTATTACACAATCCATATGGTCTCATTTGAATCATTCCACGATACTCGTGAAAATGTTTATCAGATACAAGTAACCAAAATGATTGTCACAGGTGACTTAAAATTACAAAAATCCAGGATTACTCCAATTAATTATTTTATTTAAATCCCAGATACTTTTTAGTCATTACCATCAGCTGAGATATGAATCAAGCCACATCTGTGGTGGGAAGAAAATTGAAGAGGGTTATTTCTCCTGCAAAGGAATGAAGTGGTGGTTATGATCTAATGAGAACTGTGTTGGGCTTGAAAATGTGGGGCATGGGATCTAGCTGGTGAAGTGTCAGGGAAACTGAATGGATTTTAGGGTTCAATTGACTGTGGGGATACTTTTTTTTTTTAATGTTCAGATTCATTAATGATATGTCATTATTGCTGATCCAGTTAACAGCATCCAAGTGTACCTAATGTGATGGTGTTTTCTCTATTCTCTTTGTTTAGGATCTCTTTTGACATCCACACAGGTATCTCTGCCTGTAAAACAGCCATTTCATTCTGCTGTTCAGCCAAGTAACAGTATGTTACACATGTTAAATACTAATGGTTATTCACTGCCTCCATCCTTAACATCGCTGCAAATAACTCTACCATCTTCACCCATTGCATCTTATCCTTCACCTTCTCCATCTCCAATCACTTCACCTGTCATGTCTCCTGCCAACTCACCATCACTTTCACAACGATCTTGTTCTGGAAACATAAACTGGACTTTGAGGCAACACAGCCGGGGTGTGAATGTTTGTGATTGGCTCAGGAATTTGAGACTTCACAAATACTCGGAAGTGTTTAAAGGAAAGACCTTTAATGAGGTGAATTGTAGCTTAAATTGTTTTGAAAAGTTTCAAGTAATTCACTACATTGATATTTTCATAACAAAATTTTAAGCAGGGCCAAACATTTTATGCTTACTAACTGAAAAAATTGTTGTTGAAGTAATTAATATGGTGTTTAGCTGACACTATGTTCCTTTTGTAGATGTTGCAATTTTCTGATAGAGATTTTGAAAAACTTGGCTTAACAGCAGGAGCAAGAAAGAAACTTCAAATGAACCTGGAAGTTCTTCGGTATGTCTCATCAAAGTTTATTAATTAGTAAAACTTTTGTTAGTAATTGATGTAAAATTGTGCAGGTTCACACAGCTGTGCAGCCCTTGATTATTTAAAATTAGTGCTGGGCTTAGTTTTTCCAGTTAATGACTGTGAAGGAGTCCATTTAAAAATCTTACAATCTTTTGTCCCTTCAATCATCTGACATATGCATTCTTTCCAGCAGTTGCCATAATTATTTGATTGTGTATCAATCAACAAGATAATTTCCTGTCTTATTCAAGATAAAATCCTCTTATTGATGAGTTTTCCTATTCCCTTTGGCATTTTCCTGAATAATGTACTAAAGATGCAAGGATATAAAAGGCATGTGTTAGTCAGTTCTGCAGGGTAATAGGTTTTTAAGAAAATAGAACATAGAAGTGCATTGCATTTGTATTTTCAATTAATACTTTGAAATAAGATTTACACAGTGCCTGTAGTGAGTGGTTGTTTTTTTGGCACAGGACAAGAGGTTGCTTCACATCAAATGGTTTAACATTGGTAGACATTCTTCCTTCACCTTCAAGCTTTCCAGTCAACCTAGCTCAAAGTTACGGTTCAGACTGTGAGTTCCTACGAAGCGTCAGTGAAAGTGACAGTGCCAGTGACTGTGGAAGCGACATATTATCTGAACCCGCAACCCAGGTTTGTGAATTTTGTTCAGTTTTGTCACAGGTGGCCCAGTTTAAGTATTTGTATATGACAAGTTGATTTTGCAATTCACATTTTTTTAAACCAAAATGAAGCATACATGTATATGTCTTCAGTTAACTGTCTTATGCTTGAGAAATTTGGAAATTTTTACAGGTTGATAAAAATAATAGTTATAATAATAACAACTTTATTTAAGGAGGGTAATACACAACAGTAATTCAACTGATGAAGTACCATAATTAGAGTTAAAATGTAGTCGAGGGTTATAAAGCTGGTCAACAGGTCTCTATAAAGAATATATAAGCTAAAAACTAGATAAAATAAAATATGCTGCTTGAGTCAGGTTAAATTGCATTTAGACTGAAATGTTCTACTTCATCATAGCTTGCTAGAAAATGTTGGTGAAAGGCCTTTCTGAAAGAAGCAATTGTTGTCACCTTTTTTTTTAGGTTAATGGATAGTTGGTTCCACAGCCTTGTTGTAGATATGCTAAAGGTCCTCCCTCAGTTTTGCGATTTAAATGAGGGCAGGCGAGATTTAATATATATGTATATGTATATATGTAGTAAGGTTGGGGGGGGGGGGGGGGGGACAAAACAATTCCTCCTGCAATTCCCTGTTACACCTGTTTCAAAATTTTAACAGGTAAGTTAAGAATTGCTGTTTTTTTCTATCTCGGCAAAATAGGCAAGTTTTCTTTCTAGTTGTGTACTTTGATGGTGTAAAAGAATTGTCAGTCCCTTTCTGTGAATAAATGAGGTAAATTTTGTTTCCTATTCTCCCAGACATGCTCAAGTATTTATCCAAGGAAATTTCCAGCCTTAAATGGATGCCATGTATCATGCTACAACTGTGGAAGTCTTGGCCATGTTGGTGGCCAGTGTATGGCTCCAAACCTGGATAAAAGAATTCCCTCAAGTTATGGTATGTTTTACTCCCTGATTAACAGCCTAGAGATCAGCTTATGAGTTCTCATGTAATTTAAATAACTCAGTAACTTTTGTACACTTGCTGCCATAAGTCTTAATTCCTTAGATATTACTGAATAAAGATGGCCATTGATTTGCTGATTCTCATTGTGGCTCTTTGAATACATTTTATATACACACTTTTATTATACTTTATAGAATAAATAGTGTGTGTATATAGGAAAAAAATAGCTCTTTTACAATTATGCAAGTTTATATCTGGTTTTAAACAGCACCACAGTCTATACCAGTATTTGCTAACTCTTTGAGCTCTTTCTAACAATCCCCCTCTTCTCCAACAACTGTAAACAACATCAGATAAGTTTGTGTCATATGAAGGTAACATTTGAAAGGGATGAGTTTATGGGTTCTGATCATATGTTTGAAGGATGCTGTAATAATAATGTTAGCGCTGACATGTTTTAGAAGACACAGGATTGTGCTCTTGCAGTACCCAGGTGCCACAGGTCACTGACTTTTTGTTTGAGGGGAACCTGTAAAGTGTGGCTTTGATAAAAGCTTTAAAGAGCTGGGTATTTCACATTAGTATGACAAGAGCCAATGATTCTTCTAAGTACACAGCTATGGAAGAGAAACATACTGTGCAATCTATATTCTTCAGGAGGCTATTTGCTACCTTGACGAGTCAGCTTGTTTATTATGTTTGCAGGTATCCATTCAAGGTATGATGCACAACTAGAATGTTGATGACAGTTCAAACACACTGAAACAAAGGCATTCAATCATTCTTACACTCAAACAAGAAGTTTTATCATCAAACAAGAAGAAATAAAGTTCATCAGAGGAGGAGGTCATCAAAGGGCAAAGACACAACTTGTGATTACATAATGTATATATCATATTCAGTGTACTTAACTTTTGGAGCTAAAATACTTGGATTGTTTGGTGAGACAAGGAAGGAAGAAACTATCATGGGCACAGAGGTTGAGCATTTAGGGTGAAAAAGAAGCCTAAACATTTCCTATGAAGAACCTGGAAAACAGTAGAAAAAGATGGGAGTGTGCATAGTCCTTAATCTTTGGCACAACATCAGTGGTGACAGGAGTTACTCTCCCTTAATAATCCAATACGGCTAATGTATAATTGGTCAAAACAGGCTGTAATGCAGTTTTATAGTCAAGAAAAAAAAGACAAAAACGAGTAAAACACACACACATAGCAGGACTGTCCAGTCAATGTTAATAGCTGTGCATCTTTAACTACCATCAAATTGCTGTGGACTGCAACTTAATATTTAGCTGTGACATTTATTTAGAAACTGAATTAAGGGTTACTGTAAACCATATGGTGAGAAGAGCAATCACTAAAATTGCAATAAATAGTTTTGTCATATTGATACTAGATGAAACAAAGCAGAGAGGTACTAATTTATTTTTCAAAGGAGAATTAAGTATTGACAATTCTTGCTCTGCAAGAGCGACATAACATAGAGATTTCAAAAAGTGAAAATGAATATTAAGTCCAAATAGATCAAAAGTTATTTTCTTATGCTAGAGAGTTGTCACAATTAATTATTATTTTCTAGAAGTACTTTTAAGACATTGAAAAGGGGTAGAAGCATGAATTATTGCTCAGCTCTGTTAGCGCCATGCAGAGAAGAGGTCTAACAGTAAAGTCCTAATACAGCTGACAATCTTGTTAGTTTAATACTTAATATGTACCAGCTAGGAATCTAATGTCTCAGTGTAGCAAATTTACATATTTTCTGAACATTCAAAGAAAGTAATATATTTCCAACAAAAAATGTTTGTGCTTCATTCTTTGTTTGAACGCGCTGTACACACACACTTGACAGACCATCATTGTTCCACAGAAACAGTTTGAAAGTGATGAAAAGTTGTCCGTACCCACAGAAATTCCTCTTCAGTTTACCCTGTACACCATAAGATCAGTATCCATATTCTCCACAAGTACACTTCTTTTGGTGCTGACAAGGAGAATTCATTCAACAATCAAAGCTTCTTAGGTTGGCAATCATTTTTATAGTTACTCTTATGATCTTAAAAAATGATTCAGCAGTATTTCTGTAAGGAGATTTAACCCTTTAACTCCCATGAGTGACCAAAACAGAATTTCTCCTAACAATATCAATACAATATCAACCAGATAAGTGATAGGAAGAAAGAAAAATATCAATTTGGGGATAATTAGTTGATCCAATACTAAATTCTCTGAACTAACATCATAAAAATTGTATGGTTGACAGTAAGGAGAAGTACACATTTGATCTGGGAGTTAAAGGGTTCAGATACTGGTCACTCTAAGGGGTTTCAGGGGTTTAAATCTGACAGAGCCATAATCAAACTCCAGAGGTCAGTTTTGGTCAAACATGATTATTTTTTTTTAAATGGTACTTATTAAGGAATTAAACCCTAAGTAAAATGCTCAGGAAAACTAAATCCATGCCAAGCTTTTTACACGACTCTGTTTTCATGGCACTACTATCAGTCATTGTTTTTGTATTGCTTGTGAATGCTTTTCACTTTAAAAACTGTCAGTGGTATATTTGCTCGGCGACTTTTTCCTGCATTGCTGTTTTCTTCACAACTGGCCATCCAGTGTTGGTAGTTGGAGTTTTAAATCAACATATTTATTGAGATTGTTTAAAGTGCAACTCTTCAAAATAGATTTCCATCTGGATGGACTGGTGAACCAAACATCAAGCGCCAGGATGCTGGAAAATTGAAGTCACCTGCAAAATATATATCCTGATTATTTTCCTATGCAATATTTATCAACAACTTGTGTGGACTAATCTGTAATGCTTTCACCATCCTCAGTTCTGAATGTTACCTATTGAATTATTTGTCACCAGTACAAAACGTTCCAACCAGTTTGATTTTCATTTTCTTTCAATTAGGTGTGATAATGAAATGTTTGACGAAATTGTGCTCATTACCATTATTATCAATGGTGACCAGAAGTCAAAAGTGGGCCACTGAGGTAGCAGTCTCAGACAGCTGCTCCAGCCTCGTTAGGCAAGATCAGCATAGTAAACTTACAGGGCATAGGATGGCTCATGGTCTAGTTCCCACATGAGAGGATGGATTGAGACCAGCAATGACACAGCTGTGTACCTACAGCCATCTTATGCAATCAACAGAGGTGTGACATCTCTGGCAAAGATCAGGATTGCCTGAGAGTTTACAGATACAACAAATGCAAGTATATAGGGTGAGTTGAGCTTGCCAGAGGTGACAGTCAATGATTGGACATAAAATATGTAATATTAATAACATGTCCCCAATACTCACTTGGTTTTCCTAGAATCCTGTCTTCAACCTGAAAAAGAATGCACAGTAAGCTTCAGTAAGCCACTATTAAACTACAGGGGTGTACCAGATATCAAAAGTTAATGATTTATCTGAACTTCCCAGTTGTTATAAGATTGGTTGGCATGAATCTTGTGGATAAATCACAATCAACTAAAGGGATGTTTTCTCAAAACACGCTGTTAACTTTAGAATTAATCTCTCACCTTTTCTTTGGGAACCATCTTGAGCCAGGCATTAAGATAAAGAAAGAGATTTACTGCATCTGATATATTATCCCCTTCTGAACAAAATGTTAATACCACAGTCAGAGGGATGTCATCTCTGCAACTAAAAACAAAATGGATTTGACAACAATGCATTGATTTCCCTCATTTTTGTCAGACAGTTGAAATGCACCTCAATTAAAAAAAAAATGAATTCATCACCTTTTTCCAAGATAAAAGATGATATTCTATCCCATAGCATGTAACTAAACTGCAATTATTTCCCATTTTCAAACTGTAAAAAAAAATTTCAGGGTAAATAAACATTACCAAGCCTCATAAAGCTTCTTTGTGAATCCTCCTCCAGGGAAAAAGAAAGTTTTGTCTTCATCTGATGATTCTGGGAAAGAAAGAAAAAAACTCGTGAAATATCACTACTTAAAGTATCCTTAACACTTCCATTACTGAATGCTCACATAATGAAACTTTAAAGTTAAGAATTCTTCAAAATGGTGTAATTGTGAATAACCAAGGTGAGAGCTTGTTATTTAGAAGGTTCAGTGTAGCACTTTATACTGCCTATGATGTTGTGGGTTTCACTGTGCTATTGGTTAACATGATGTCAATTCTGCAGTCAAGTAAAAGTCTTCAAAATGGATTGCCTCTTCCAAGTAAGTGAGCAGAAGTTTAGTACACCTGAAAAAATCTTTCAAAACACATTTTTGCCATAACTGTGTTTAGGAAGGTACAGAAGAGGCAGCTCAATGAAAATTAACCTAAATCCAGAAATAGAGATAGAAACAAAAAAAAGCACTCAAATTTGTCACCCACCTTCGGTGTTAACATGAGGAAACTTTGGTCTCTTTTCCAATGACTTCCATGACAATTCATCAAATACTGGAAGGAGGTTTTTCACTGCAGGTGTTACAAGGTATCTCAATGGAGAACTGGAACAAAAAAAAAAAAAAAAAAAAGAATACACCGTAACAGCAAAAATTTTAGCTTTCTACTTTCTTCTTACTCTCTTCAAATCTTTCTTTGTTGCTTATTTTAGCTTCAAATTGCAATTTAACTTTTCTTGAATTTACAAAAAACAGGAAGCTCTGAGAATTGGCAAAACACTTATCTTTCTAAAGTTTACCCTGTCAAATACCATATTTGTTGGCAATGATGGCTAAAAACAAAACTTTTTATAAAGTGTTTACTCAGCTAGCTTACTAGAGCACCTTTCAGTTGAGTGATGAAAGTAGGTGTCATCTGAACTCAAATTAATTTAATTTGCTTTTCTTCACATGGGCCATCTTCATAAGTTAAATTGTAATTTAATCAATGCATTGTCAATGACAACAGCAACCATTTTTCAAAAATCTTTGAGATGTCTTGAGTGACTTAGATGAAGTACAGTATAAGTTGTATATGTTATGACATCTTAAGAAGGAATTTTGCTTAATTCTCTTTCTATACAAATTATGATATGATTGCTATAAATCTAATCACATGGTAAAAAAAAATAAAAGAATAATTGATTAAAAAATGGAACTAGTCTGACAGGTGAATTTCTTACCCTTCAATCTGTGCATCAACTCTTTCTGTAGCACTAATACTGGAAACAAGAATGACTTGTTTGAAGTTGCAACTTTTAATCCATGTAACAAGTTTCTTGCAGTACTCAGTCTGATGACCCTGAAATAAATGGTAATATCATTCTACAGTTACTGGTATGCAACAAATTGATACTCTGATATGTGAAGATACTCTGATATGTGAAGAATGCGTTCTTTAACAGAGCTCAAGCACTTAAAACATTGATGATAAGATTCCTTGATAGCAAGCAACATGTGGACTGAAATAAAGTGATAAATTATGGCATAAGATGGCATTTCTTGTAGTCTTTTTTATAATACACCTATTCTGTAAAACCTGATCAAGTGCTCAACCTATATTAGGCAGTCACCACACCATTCCCCAAAGGTGTCTGCCTGATACAGGTTCAACTATAATTCTGAAAATCATATATACACTAACATTATTAAGTAAATAAATCAAGACAAATTTTTGTCATATCTTAAAATTTTACTCTTTCAATTGGTTTGTTGAATGTGAAATTATTCACAACAAACATGATTGTACTTTGCATACATTTTAAATGTATGTTTTCTAAGCACATCAAGCATCTGGTAACAATTCAAACTTAAGGAAAGATAATCATTGTATACAGTTGTCTCCGTAATACTCAAATATTTACCTTAACTAGTGGAGCTCTCTGTTGAACTACAATAAACTTCAGATCATCATTTTTGTACACTGCCAAAGAAATAAAACATATGTCACCCTAAGCTTTGCATGTGGTTATATGGAACACTCCATGAGGAGTTTTGTGAGGCACCTTTTTCACATTCTTTCACAAACATTTCTGGTTTCATACCAACAATCCCTGACACAGCAATTAGTCATCTACACAAGAAACCTTCCCTTTAACAAATGTTAATGGTTTAATGCCCTAAAGATATTTTTTCAAATGTTATCTAAAGTTCATGAGTAATAAAATGTAGACTCTAGTTCAAGCAAACAATCAAACTGGTAATAAAAATTCATTTTACACATACCACCAAGTTTTTGATAACTAATTTACAAAGATTGTTCAGCATGTACAAAGGAGAAATAAATAAATAAGATTGTGGAATATCAAAGGTAAAGGGAAAGTTGATCGTACAAACCTTCAACACTGACATTTAGTTTTCCAGGAGCTTCTGTTGACAAAGTAAAGGCATCATTCCCCACTACAGGCAAGACACACGAATCATACAGATATCCAATGGGGGAACCATCTGGACAAACAGTAGAAACTACCAGATCCACTGCTAACTGGCCCACATTTCCTATTGAAACCGCTGGCTTTGAGAATCAAACAGAAATAAAATGAAAAAGATAGTAAGTTTTGACTTTGGTAATGACCTGAAGACGTTTTTTCGTCTTGTTGAAAATGAAAATGTTTTTCAAACCCCAAGGCACATTATTAACTTTATTTTAGTGTGTCTTATCCTTTTATGACTCAAAACGCATAACATAATAGATAATTTCTAACACAACGTATTTGCTTTTCTATTGCATTTCACCAATAAAAACAAGTATTTTAAAATAGTTCCGTATCGAAAATTTAATGTGTACAACCACCTCTGAATCCTACTGTGGTAGAGATTTGTTTTTGAAGCGTTTCTCTGATGTACAAGTACGTAGTCAGGTACTCACCAATATTAAGGTAAATTCTTCCCAGTTTCCATCAACATTATTCTCCCTAGGAATAAACATCTCGTCGTAACTTCAGTTCATATGAACTAGCACGTTTCAGACGCTCCACGTGGGTTAACCAGCGTTCTGCCGACTCATTCCAAGCAAAGTATACTTATAGCCTTTTCGATCAGGCGTTCCATTTGTGAAAAGAAGCCTGGGCTGAGTAAAAGCGTGGTTACGAATCTATTTCAACATGGCGGATTTTTAGTGAAACTTGGAGATTTGCAAACTCTTACAAATTTAGTCTGTTTAAAATGGCAGAATTCCCTGACTTTGGAAAGCAGTGTGATGTCGAGATTTGTAAGCAACTTGGTAAGTTATTTCCCTGAACTCTATGTGTACTTTCTTTTACAAGCTGCTAAACTTTTTCAAAGCGAGCAGAATTTTCTTATTTTTTTACGTAGATTTTCTTCCATTTATTTGTAATGGATGCTCTGGTACCTTTTGGTAAGTATCATTCTTCTGCTTATCCTATTTAATCTAATACCTACGCAAACAATTTTGGAAACCAACGCTTCTCGTGAACAATCACGGCATTGGAAAAATGTGCTGTACTAAAAATATTAATTATAGCAACGTTTAGTTAAATAAATACAATGAATTACATGGTGTGTTCATCAGTGCTGGAGTAATTCTTATGTTTAGCGTCAACTGAGATAGTGTTTTATTGCATTGAAAGGTTTAAGGTAAAAAATTACCGTACTTTTTTTCATTCAAAAGTAATTTATGTTTATAAAGTGTATTAAACGTAGCACACATTTTTATAGTCCTGTTTGAAGGGTTAAGTTAAGATTTCAGTATTATCTGTAATAAACCTTCCACTTTTTGCTATCAGATCTAAGATTTGATTTTGATATTTGATACAAATAGAAACTGATACAGGTTTTTTTTTTCACAGTTTAGAACATCGCTCAAAGTCATCACACAACTGCACTGTTGATGATCAAAAATTTAAGGTTCAAAAACATGTATATAGTTTGATGTGTATATAACCTGTACATATTGAAGGATGGATTTGAGAAAAACTATTGATTATTAATGAAAAATAATCATGAAAACATTGAACCCTTTAACTCCCATGAGTGATCAAGAGAGAATGTCTCTTTACAGTGTCAATGCAATATAAAGCAGACAAGTGATGAGAGTAAAGAAGAATAAAGATCAGGAGATTTTTAGTTGATACAATAACAAATTCTCCAAATTAACATTATAAGAATTGTGTGGCAGATACTAAGAAGAATATCTCATTAGATTGTGGGAGTGAAAGGGTTAACTGATCTCAGCACCGTGATTTTTTTCTGCATTGTTGTTGTTAGGGTACCTTACTTTATTTTAGACATGGCAGCAGTCATCAAGTGTAGGCGAGGTCAATAATTGTCATGTTTAACAGCTGTGGTTTAAAGTGTTATCGATATATGAAAGGAAGATTTAATTTCCATTTGTTACAGGGAGATCCATCAAAGACTTCAGTTTCAAATGGTTTCTTAGAGTGTTCACTGAATGAGTGCAACAGTAGAGAGTTGGTTCCAGTGTTATGTGAACATTGTCACAAAAACTACTGCCTCAGGTGAATTTACAAAGTTTCATGTATCAGTCAATAATGACAAAAAAAGTAACAAACTTTGAATTCATGCAGGAAATAACTGAAATAATAATTAATTTTGAAAAATGATGTATATTTTAAAGAGACAACTTCAAGAAGAATTGCAGACATGTATATGTCCAGATGTACAAACAAAATTAGTAATACATCCTCCACAAGCTTGATCAAATCTCTCCTTCACACCTTAAGGCCTCTTTCATTATTTTTCCAAAGGGATAAACTCTGGTGTTTACCATTTTGTACTCAAGCTATTACAGGCATTTTGTAACAAGAAGCTCAAAGTTTATGAATAATTTATTTGAATCTTCATGCAAAGCAGAGCAGTAAACTTGCCAGTCTTGATTTTTCACCTCAATAGACCTTCAAATTTTGGTGAAAAACCAAGATGGTGATGAAGAATGTTTAGGCTTTGTGTGTCTTTTGTAAGAGTGACTGCTGACCAGAAATGTTCCTTATCACAGGCATAGGCATCAGGTTGATCACCAGTGCCCAGGTCTCCCTCAGAAACAACCCAGAGTGACTCCTGAACAAAGAATACAACAAATCATTGGTAAAGTCACTTGATAGAGTAAGGTTCTATATACAAAATTACAGCTGAACCTGTATTAAGCAGCACTGTATTTAGGGGTCACCTTGTATCAAGTGTTTGCTTTTCAAAATCCCAAAATATCTTCCTCTTATTTACTGTAATTTTCACCTCTGTTTAAGGGTCACCTCTATTTAGGGGTTTAACTGTATATAGAAAGTGACATCCAGGACATGTAATAAATGACTATTGAATAGATGATGTGAGGGGCTAACTGGTTTGCATCTTATCTGAGGAGTATTTCCACAAAACCTTAGTAGAGAAGGGATCCATGGAAGGAGAGCTGTATAGAGCCTAAGGGACATCATTTTATAAACCACCTTGACCTGGTTATTCAAAGTCTCGTTAGGGCTAACCCAGGGTTACATTTTAATCTAGGTTTCTTTACTTCTTTGTTTACAAGCCCTCATGAGATAATTTTTTCTATTCTCTTTAGGATATCCAATAGTAAAATTGTAGACAAAGAGAATTGTACTGAATTTTCTTTTAAAGCTTTCAGATCTGAAGTCAGATTTCACCTTAACCTTGGGTTATCTTAATCCAGCTTTGAATAATCCAGCGCTGGGCCATACACTGTCCATCCTTCACTGGAGATTTAGAAATTTCTTAAGTCTAACATTTGTGCAAAGTTGTGAAGTAATCTAAAGTAATAACTGCTACGAGAGTATGAGTATTTAATCTTACCTTTTTCCTCCTTTTCAGTATTTGAATGTAAACCAATGCCTGAACCCTCTGTTCCCTAACATCATTATGCATATTCCATACTGATCTCTATACATTTCCTAAAAATCTGACAATGATAATTTGTTTAACAATCAAGAGCTTCTTTACTTGTGATCATCTCCTTTATTCTTGTGTTCTTAACCCTTTGACACCTGAGAGTGACTGGCATCTAATTTCTCCCCACAATATCACCCCTGAATCAAACATTAAGGTAATGAGAATAAAGGAAATGATAAACAACTAGAAAAGCTCCTGGTTGTTAAACAAGTTCTCCTTGTCAGCAACTTAGGAAACATGTCAAGAACAGTATGGAGAATATGCATACTGATTTCAGGGTGTAAATGGTTAAGGGTTTTAGGATTAAATAATCATTATTTTTTAACATTTCAACAGGAAAAGATCTTTGCAAAGAAAAGAAAGGTATGTTTCTAGGGTCTCCTTATCATCTGTCTTATGTGAGGGAAGAGTCATCACCTCAATAACCTTGCTACTACACATTTCCTTGTAAATTGATTAAGAGAATTAGATGTTCAGTGTACGTGGGTTTCTTTGGAACACCGAGGAGCAATGATTGGTTTGCAAGGACTGTTTTCTCCTTGTGCAAACTCACATTCTAGATAGGTTTAGAAAAATGCTTCTTTCTAGTTACAGTCCTCTATTGTTTTTCTGTATCCCTTTTCAATTCCCAGTAAAATTATAATTTCTTCATCATGCCCCATACATTAATTCTGTCAATCCATAAATGCAAAAGGTGTTTTGGAAAGTTGTCTTATAAAGAGAAGAAATGCACTGTTTTGTACCACTTTTTGTCAAACTGTAAGATTTAAGATTATAGAAAGGTCTACACCCTATTCCCCATCTGAAGCTGTTTTTACCTCTTTATATACCTTTATATATGTACAATTATTACTCAGTGGTAAGTGAAGAGTATTGTGTGATTTACCTTCATCTTTGTGATTGTACCATTTTTGTTTTAGGTCGTGGGGGTGTGAGAAATGAAAGCCGCGCAGCTAAAGTTGCTCTGATGAAGATGAAGATGAAAGCTACTGGAGATGGTTCAATTCCTCAGGTTTGTCAGGTCAAGTCCATACAGAGCCATTTTTAATAATATCAAGGTTCAGAAATACTCCATATGATTTCACTTGTTTTGCTTCAATGCTTCACTTGTCTGGTTCAAGAAGATGCCATCTACATTAACCAATCAGATACAAAACTAGAAGCATTTGACTCCTTTTAAATTTTTCTTTGTCCTGGTCAGCTTTTAAGGGTTGCCTTCACCTTAGATTTACCACGCTCAGCAGTTATATTACCATTGAGGACGCCCTTGACTCTGTACAACATTAAGAGGTCCGGTGTTTAGCTAGGTGTTAGGAAACGTAAGGGCAACTTCATAGCGTAAGGAGTTACCTTTAATGGACTGGTATCTAGTCTAGTATGGTTAGCAATAATCCAAGTCACTTGGAGCCGGTTATGTACACGAGGTCTAACCCAGACCACAGTTTAACACAATCAGTGCGCTTCAGGTTTTCTTTATAAGAGGGTCGATTTTGTTAAATAAATGTCCCTCCACTGTAAGCTTTCGGCCGACTTGACACTGTTCACGAAGAAAGGTCCACAGAAAGGTCCCACTAAATTGAGGATTATTTAAGGCGCAGTTTTGGAAAACAACGACTGAACTTTATTTGAAGAATCGGACCTTAATGCTACAGTAACCAGGATAAGTTGTAGCTCTAGAGATGACCTCCAGGCTTGTAACACTGAGCCTCGAATCATTAACCCCTCGATTATTTGTGAAAACTGATTTTTTTCTGTCGTGCTGCTCCATCATTTGCTGACCACTCCTGAGCCAACTTGACGGACCCATCAGCGAACTTTCTGCCTTTTTGTTACGCCAAATGTTAGAAAAAGTCTGCTTTCGTTTTTCTTAGGAGGAACGAATCTATCTCAGAGTTCTCATGCCTCTTGGTAATAAAGAACGAGAATATCCAATGTACTTCTCCAAGGTGAGAACAACACAAAAGAAAATTACGTTAGTATCTTGTGCCTTTTTTCCTTTCCTTTCTGTTACGTTAATAACTCGCACAATGTTTCCTTTCTTTTCTCTTTGTTTGTTACGTTCGTATCCCGCGCACTGTTTTCTTTCTTCTCTGTTTGTTTTTGTTAGTATCTCGCGCACTGTTTTCTTTCTTTTCTGTTTGTTTGTTCGTTCGTATCTAGCCCACTGTTTCTTTCCTTTACTGTTTGTTTGTTACGTTCGTATCTCGCGCACCGTTTCTTTTCTTTTCTGTTTGTTTGTTACGTTCGTATCTCGCGCACCGTTTCTTTTCTTTTC